AAGATGAGTACAGAGACAAGGGAGTGAAGAGCACTCAGGATTAGTGCCATTCCACTGTTTCTTAGTTACAATGATACATCTCCCACGCTTCCCTAGGTGACCCAGGCAGGAATAACTGAGAAATATAAAATTTGGTCAGCAGCCTCCTGTCACAGCTTCATCCATGCACAGGCTGCCCAGTGTGTTACTGTTGAACCACCAGTGTATAATGGTTGAACAGGCTTGGACCTCCTTGGCAGTGCCTTCCCTGTAGTGTATGTTGTACTACACACAAAAGTAACATGTTGGTATCTACTTCCACTTCTAACGGAGTCCATCATCTCAGAAGGAACCTTCTCTAAAAGAACAAAACAGGGCAAAGGGATAAGTACATCAGTGCCACAAAAACAACAGCAATTCACACAGCAGAAGCTTTCTTAGGTCTCAGCCAATCTGTTTGCTGAAACACTGAGGTCTCAACCGTATGTTGCATTCAGTCACTTCCTATGCTCAGGCTCCACGATATGGTGGGACTGTGTATGTTCACAAGGACGTCTCACACACCATAAGCCACAACATTCAATTCAAGTTGCCAGAGACACTGCAAGTTCACACAGATGGACAAAATCCCATAATTTAAAAAAACTAAACAACCCTTGAACAACTAGTGAATTAATAATTGGCTTGCCAGACATTATGCAGAAAGAGTCGAGGGTCCTGAAACTTCTCACTCTAAAAATTTAAAAGAATATGAAAGAAATACCAGAATATTGTTTATTTTAAAAGGCCCCCAGTGGGGGTTGCCCTATTATTTTTTTGTAGGACAACAGTAAAGTTCTCTTCATACACAGCTAGCGCAGAGGATTTAGTGGGAAGATCCTCATTTTTACAAGAGACACATTTTAATAGCTCACCAGCCCAGGCACTAGCAGCCCTGGGGCTGATGGAGTAAGCTATGCAGATGGAAACAATTATTTAGGAGGGGAAGGACTCCTGCATGCATGGAGAAACATCTCACTGAAACTGAAGCCTCCCACCAACACATTCCAGACTCTTGGAGTAATCTACTTTGGGGAATATGCTTTAAACTACATCAGCTTTTGTATTTCTTTCTCCAATCTTAATTGCAATCCCAAAACATACTCCCCTGCAAACTGACCCAGCACTCTTACCAAACAGCAACAAATACCAGAAAATATTATGAACATCTGAATCTCAAAACAGTTTAGAGACCCAACTTTTCAAGCAACAGGTTCTGACTTCAGACAAGCTTTTCACTACGCAACACACCTGGAAGAACTTACCCACAGATTAGCAATGTTGTGGTGGATGACTTACACCTAAAGTCCATAACATAAAATCATGAATAAATCTTACACATCATATTTGATATGTAGTATATAAAATTAAAATGCCTTATGTAATTCAAAATCGTGTGTCTTAGAAAGGAGCAGAATTTCAGAAAGCACTATTTGATTAGAAATATCTAATTAAGGATAGCCCTTTCAAGCCAGCTACATAAGTAATGTTTCATATAATATGTTGCAGGAGAAAAATAACTCCAGCAGGTTTCAATTAAGCCTCATTGCCATATGGATTTTGCATCTGCAGCAAGAAGGCTCAAACACCATGTCACAACTAAGATATTTTTATGTCTCCAACTGAAAGCACTTAAACTGCTTGGAATAGAAGCATGTGGGTCATAACATCCCCAATAAAGCAAAGCTTTTGCTGAGTCTAAAAGACACATGAAGCCAGAACATACCATATTCTTGGTCATGCATTGTAGTTACTAACTTTCAAAGGATTTAAAAAGCTAAGTGTGTAGAGCATGTATACTTCAGTGCCTTCCTTACCCAGAAAAACAGAAGACCCCAGTGCAAGTCACACAGTGATTTTTAAGGAGGCGCTAAAGGAGTGGGGTGTCTTTTTCTCCCTGCAGCCCCAGAAGGGCACTGCTCCCTAAGCAGTTTACATGTGCCATCACAAGCACATTTGAAGGGCTCCTCAGGTTACCACCTCAGCCAACCTCCTGCTTAAAGCAGGATCAAACACCAACTAGGCCAGGATTCTGAGGGCTTTGACCAGTTGGGTCTTGTGAAGGGCTGAGGTGCCACCACCTCTGTGGGTCCCCATTTTAACACTCCCCTGTACTCCCATGGAGTGGTATTTTCCTTAAGGCAAGCTGGATGCTCACCCATTTCAATATATAAAGCTTTGACAAGTAACAACCTTCTATCCAACTAATGAAAGATGCTATGAACTGGAAAACAACAGTTATGGGGTTTTCCCTTCACTATTAAAAACATTCTCAAAAAATATGTCTTGATTAACCCAAGAGCTCCACTGCTGCTGCTGTGCCCTCTTGGGGCACAAGGGACCTTGAGCTGAACCGTCAGTGTTATTTTTCTTCACACAGTTTGGACCCAAGAACCCCAATTCCTCTTTACTGAAAACAGATGTCAGCCAAGTTAAATCATCCCGTGACTCGTCCAGCAGAAGGATGTAAACAGCCACAGCTCACCCAGCTGTTACTCAGAGAGGCCCTGCTGACAAGTCAGGGATCCCAGCATGCTTCAAGACCTTCAAAATACTTTGACATACTGATTAGTGTTTATCACTTAAATCCATCAAAACACATTAGGTCACTTGAGTTTGCACTAGATTAGAGTTTGGGTCTTCTACCAACTTCCCCCAGGAGCTCAGAGGAGAAAGAAACTATTATCTACGTTTTTATACATACAATGCTTCCCAACAGTCTTAATGTTTAACAAACCCCACCCCTGCACCATGCCTGCAAAGTAAATGCTTTACAAATAAGAAGGAGGGGGGAAAAAAGAGAGATTTAGTGATGTGCAAAAGGTCATAAGACACGTATGTGTACCATACGCCTACCATGTTCAGCACACAGAAATGCAGGCTTCCACCTCCCAGGAGGCTTAACCTCAGCCAAAAGGAACTACCAAACTACAGCTCTCACTAATGCTGTGCTCCAAAGTGTTCAATTCAGGTTTTTGTATCCAACTTTTTCAGCTAAGAAAACTACTTACTTGCTACAGTATGGAAGGACCCTGGGGCAGAAGCTGTGCGATGTGTATGAGAAATGATGCTTTGCACCAGGTGAACAAGAGACCTTCAGGTGAATTAAATCCAAAGCTATTTGCAATCATTGTAAACAACCACACTGGCAGGAGCTCTACTACAACATCCAAGGCTGTAAGCTCTCTTGCTGATGCCCAGGAAACAGCTTTTGCACACAGAGCAAAGGGAAATTAAAGCACAAACTCACCGACATTCAAACACTTCCAGACTACAAAGGCAGCTGGGAGGTCATGCTACATTCATGCTGTGACTCCAAATGCTCAGCAAAGATAGGCACAGGGAAAGGCATTACAGCCAGATTCAGGGAAAGGAAATTTTTTAACAAAGGTGGATCACAACACAGTCTCCAGGGCTCAAACAGAGACCCGTCAACTGTAGATCTGGGTCCATTCTCCAGGCCAGGTTCACACATCACCAACCTCTTGCAAGAAGCACAGACCCGCAGCAGAGCCAAAATGTTCTTTCCATACAACTTCTAGCCAAATCCTCAAACAAAATTTTATTCTTAACAGCCAAATATTTATTTGTGCATTATTTCTCATAGCTCAGAGACAGGAAAACCAGGTATAAATCACTAGTGTCATCAGCATAGCTGTGGTACTGGGCAGCTCACAGGAACCAGGAGCCCTCAAAGTAAGTTCCTCAAGCAGGTTTTGCAAGCTGGCACCAACTTCCCTGCTATTACAGTGACATTACCAGTGACAGCCAGCCCAGCCAGGCTAAAGCTATTCTGAGTGTATTTACACTGACTAAAAACTACACAGAGCATGTACTTTGCTACCCCTGGGCTTTAGAACATCAGCATGTAATTCGAGAAGCAATATTCTCCTAGACCTTTGGGTTATTTATTTACTCACCTTAGTTCATCTACTTCTTTGCAGTGATGATCCCACTATAACGTTTTTAACTTAAATTATGGCAACTGCCTCGAGATAACAAGGTGTCATTTTGAACTGAGATTGTAACAGAGTGTCCAACATACTCAAATAGCCTAAACAAGTGAAATCCAATAGAGACAGGAGGTATCCCCAGAGATTTAGCTGCAAGACTGGAAGCATCCCCAGAGATGCAGCTGCAAGATTAAACCTTTCCTGCCAACACTTTTTTTAAGTGCACATAGACTAGGGAGAAAATGAAAAGAAAAAACCCTTGAGACTACCAGAAAACGTTCTCCTCGCTGGCTCAGTGAGGACAGCCTTGAGGTGTCAGAAGGGGAACTAGGGCTGAGACAATAACCCCACTCCCCAGCAGGGCAGAAGCCAAATTCTTCAGGAAAAGCGACAACTCAGGACCTAAAGCACTGGAAATCCCGCAGCTCCGGGGCACGGCCGGAGCCCCCCCAACATCCGCCACGCACCAGCCTACCTGGAGGGGTCAGCGCTGCGGACGAGGGCGGCCGAAGGACTAGAGGAGAAGAGAGCAAGGGGCTCTCCCGACCCCAGTACCGCTGCCCCGGAGCCGCCCAGGGATGGGCGCGGAGCTCAGCGGAGGCGAGACCAAGCGAGGAGACCCTTCCCTTCCCTCCGCCCCGGCCACTGGGAGGGCTCCGGGAGGGCGGGACCGGGGCGGACCCCAGCCGGGACCGCTGCCCGAACTCGCCCCGCGGCGCCTCCGCAACCAGCGGCATCTGCGTCCGGTCCCGCAGCATCCACAGGGAGCACCCCCATGGAGCACCCACCCGGCCCGCTCGGCGCTGGCAGAAGGGGCAGTAAGTGGGGAAACCCCACTGGAGAAGATCCTCAAACCCCCTCCGGGAAGAGTGGGATGTCCTTGGCAAAAGGCTTTTTTTGTGTGTATTTTTTTGTTTGTTGGTTGGTTGGTTTGGTTCGTTTGGGGTTTTTTTGGGGGGGTTGGGTTTTTTTGGGTTTTGGTTTGTTTGGGTTTTTTTTTTTCAAATAAAGGAGCTGCGAAAATAAAGATGTGGGCAAACAGTTTTTATTTAAGAGCGTACAGCTTTGGGCAAACATTTGGACACGTTCAGGGGATGGGGAGGGAAAGGCAAATACAAACAGGATGGGTTTCATGGTTACTAGGGGCTGGTGTTACACAGCGTTCCCATGCAAGGCTCTGCAGGCACACGGCCTGCACGTGGGGAGCAGAGACAAACGTTTTTCACAATTGGCTCTGTGCTCTTTGGGATGTGACTTCCTAATTCAGGTCCTCTTTAAAGAAAAAAAAAAAAAAGAGTGTGTTGAATGTGTGCACCGATGCCAGGAGCACACAGCTGTTCTGATCACAGCCCAACACCTGGATAAACCTTTAGGCCACAAAATGATGGCTCATCACAGTCCTACCACCCTCCTTGTGGCTCCAACAACTGGTGAAATTAAGCTGCGAGTGCCCCTTTAGGCTGTAATCTAACCTTCCATCAGCCTGCCAGCTGTGCCAAAAAGCAGAGCCTGCACGGAAATAAGGGACATGCATGCTTGGGATCTGCTGAGGGCTTAATTATTTCTTATTACTTGGAGGTAGGCTTGCTTAATTTATTAGACCTGAGTCTTGAAAAGTTGTTTCCTACTTTGCAAACTGACAAGCTGAAGATCAGAAGAGTGCTAATTGGACTACAAGTGTAATAATCCTTGGGCTGTACTGCATTTAAATCCCAGTAAAAATCACTACAGAGAAAGATTGCCTTGATCTTTTTTGTTTGAAACCGAAGATTAGTAGTGTGAGCAGAGAGTATCACTGGTGCCGTTCTTGGTCCTTAAAAAAAGGGACTCACTCCTCTGAAGTGGAAGGGGAGTAGAATACACACCCAGGAGGTGGACAAGAAACTGGTTGTTGTCATTTATCTCATAAATGTCAGTACTCTAAAAGTAGCTGTTGTGACCTCAGTGAGTGCTGATTTAGTCTTGAGTGGGTTTCCTCAGAGAATTCCCTTCCCTCTGTCATGCTGCAGTCGTTCTCACTGATGCCAAGCAGGATGGATGCTAAAAGCCATGGGACCATCTGCTTTATTTTCACCCTCTGGTGGTTCTCTGAGCTCTGCTCAGCTCCAGTTTCCTCCCCAAGACTGAAGCCAACAGTGCTCTGCTCTCCAGCCTCAGGGAGTCCAAGATTTTCACAGCTTTTTCACACAGCAAAGCAAACAGCTGAGCCATGTAGGTAATCAGATAGGACGGCAGCAGTAGAATCCTCAGGATATTAAATATCTGGAGCAACAGGCAGACAAAGTTCCAGGTGAGAGAAGAAAACATGGTGCACAACAGCTGATGAAGAAAAGGAAGAACTGAATCATCATGGCAATGATGCTTTCAGAAGAGGTTCTATTTTCAGTGGAATAGACATGATTTTGAAAACACAAGTGCTTGTTCCCTTCCCTCATCCACCCTGCACAACCTGCAAGCCTTTCAGCAGGGCATTATGTCCCGCAAGAGACCAGCTCAAGCTGCTGTGTTCAAGTCAATGCTGGTACATGTGAAGAGCTCTAGGAGAATCAAATGGTACCTTTGACAAGTCTAAGCTCGTTCTTAGCATTGTTAGCCTTTGAAAAATTAATTAAAAGGAAATAAAAAAAATTATTACTACATTGACTTGGTACGGCCTTGGTGGTGTTAATAATGTTAAAAATGCTTTCACTCAGGGTATTGTTGATTCCATGCTAGAGCTCAGCATCAGGGTGTGTTAGTCAAACAACTGCAGCAGTTTAAGATGATTCCAGTCCTTAGCCAGTCTAGCCTAAGCAAGGTTACCACTCCAGCAAAACTAATGGAAGGAAACATGAGTGAGTACCTCAGTTGCTGCAATTCAAAAATCCCAGCAACGTGACTGAACAGACAGGACTGTGTATAGTGAGCGTGGAGACACAGAGCAGCTTTCCCTTGTGAGCCCCTTCTACAAAGGAACAGACAGTCAGGGCACAGGGAAAGAGAAGACACACAAGACATCAAGCTCCTCCACTGTGTCAAATATATCTTTTGGGATTTGTGTAAAGCCTAAGAAGATTTGGACTGTTGTGTTTGCAAAGAGATTTCTCACTTCAGCTCTTATTGAGCAAGTGAAATACAGCCTATTTTTAGTCATATGCTCCACTGTGAGAAGTCTGAAGCAGATTTTAAAAACACATAATATCAGTCATAAATACCACAAGAGTTTCTATGCACATTTGAGCTAAACTTCTTATCTTAGAGAAATAAGTAGCATTTTTTGCTGTTTTAAATGCAATTCTCAAGGACTTTTAAACTATGCATACATACCTTGAAATATATATACACACACATATTCATGATAGTAATTCTGCACAATTTTGTGTTACCTTTACCTTGTCTACATCAGGAGCCATTCCAAGTGGGGAAGACAGAATATAGAACCTCCTGTTAGTCATTAAGCAGACAGAAACCAATCTTGCAGCTTTTTCTTCCCAAGAGACCGAGGAGTCAGGCAGAAGTGAAAAAAAGTCAGAGCTGAGGCACAAAAGCAGTAGATATGCAAAGAGACCACCTGGTCACACTACTCACCATCATGATGTTACAGAAATTGCTCTTTTCAACATGGGAATATCTTATCTTCTGGCTCCGGGACCAGCTGTTTGAGGTCACAGCAAGAAGACTTTGCTTTTGGCTTTTTGGATTTGAGCTCAGATAAGCAGGCTTGGGCCTCAGCCTCCCCACAGAGTCACTGGGTTGGGACTCCTCTTGTGTCTCTGTACTGGAAGCATCACTCTGGTTGTCCTCCTCTGTTAGCTCATCTTCAAATATAGAGTCAGAATCAGGCTCATCAAAAGATTTTTTCTTTATCTTTTCTGTGCTGGGCATCTGTGCTAGAAATAGGTTTAAAAAGAATATGCAAAACAGCTGTATGTGACTTTTTCTCCCTGGCTGCAAGCCTTGCACATTCCACCTATGAGCTGGGCAAGGTTCCTCTGAACATTTTTCAGCTGAAATAAAGGATTTCCAAACCCAACTAGACAATAAAAGGTTTATACAAGTGTTTGATTTCAACTAATTAACTCTTAATCAGCAACTATATTAAAGGAAGAGCTGAAACATCCATGACTTTTTATTTGTGCCTGCTGTAATCTAGCATAAAAAAGTGGATATGACTGAATTAGGAAGTTACTTGAAAGGGCACTGTTGTCTTTCTCTCTTATGAGTAACTGGGAAATGCTTTAATGTTGTAATTCTGTAAATATGCTGGTATGTATAAAGTTAGCAATGTGTCTAGTCTTACTGATTAAAATGCAATTTAGAGCATTTGTGGAAATTGTTGGAGGCCTGGTGCTAACAACAGTCATTACAGGGCCAGAAATTGTGAAAGTAAATGTAGCAAGAATAACCTGAAAATCTCATTCAAAGCATCAATAGATTCCAGAGTTACTCTGTCCAGGCAAAAACCTGAGCACTCAACTGAAGTGTGTGCAGAGCTACCCTTTGCCTATGCAAAATAGATTTTTTTTTTATCGCTGATATTGAACTTACAATTCATTCCTTATCCTGGATTACTTATGGTCCAGCATTAGAGCAAAGTAGCAAGGCTTTATCCTCATGAGTACATCGACAAGCTTATTATTAGTCTAAACCAAAAGCCTGTTATCATTTACTGACATGTTAGAAGTAAGAATCAGTGATGGATTGGGGAAAAAAAAAGAGCAAAATACACAAATAAATGAAAATGCATGACTTGCTCCCTTCAAAATTTTCTGTCAGCCTCAGCATTGACAAAAGGACCCTTTACCAGCTCCCCCACTAACACCCTGCACACCTCCCAAAAGTAGAGGTGCAAGAGAACTATAATGTCAGAATTTAAAGTGCACAAAACTAGAGGGTTAGCTTTGCTTTCTGGGAGATTTCTTAAATAGAAATCTACAAAAACTACTTGTCTTTTGCCCTTCTTAAATCAAATTACCTCTGAGAAAAAGGGAGAGACTAAGGAATAGAAGGGTAAGGCAGCAGCTGGTCTTCCTATAAGCATTGTTAACAGAAAAGCATAATAATTTGTGTTTGCTTTTCCATATACTACCACCAGTACTAAGAAACCTTTCAGTTTCTTTCTGTGACAAGTGTCATTAACCTAAAAATAGCTAGCAGAGTGTTTTAAAGGTGAAGCTAATAGATAAATGCTTTATGCAGAAGCATTTTATGTGATCAACAGCCGAACTTACCTTCATTAAGTAGAAGCTGTAGCCAGATGATCATGATGATCAACAGCATTACAAATGGCAAACAGAACCAGAAGAAAAGCAGAGGAAAGGTCAGCTCATTCACCAGAGGAACCAGGGGATACCTCATAGCTTGCTTCAGGTTACACTAAATTCAGAACAGCTTGTCTGCTCCAGTTTCTAACCACCCTTTAATAACTCATTGCAGCACTATTAACGACAAGAAAATGAGTGATATATCAGCATGGTTAGCAAAGGCAACAGTCCTGTGCTAGGGAGGGGGCAGTGGGGATTAAATACAGCATAAGAAGAACTGAGAAAACATCTGATTTGATTGGCCTTCCTTCAGCTGCTATTTAAAGGAAGCTTTCAAGGCTTATGTTAAAAGAGTAGTTAAAGATCTGGTCATGTTTGTGGATATAGGGGAGATAACCAAGCAATTCAGCCAGACTCAGTAGCCAAGGTTGCTTTTGAGAACACAATAAAACAGAGCCAACCCTCCACAGATGGGTAGAGGATGAAGAGGTAAAAATTACTTCTCCCAGGCTCCTGTTTGACATAGAGCACAAATATGTCCTGTATTAATATAACTCTATTTTTAGCCTACTCTGTATGCCTCCACCTATTAGTTAATCCTTTAGGAAAATAAACCTTTGTATTTTAATTGCTTATCTCCCTTACATCCGAAAAAAGCAACTAGTGTGTTTCAGAGGACATATGTCTACAAATGTATTGCTTAAGAGTAAAGGAGTTCAGTAGAGATCAAAGCAGGAACCAGATAAGTGACTTGATAACTTGATATTCATCACACTGTATGTTTCTCCTTCAATAAAATAAAACCATTATCTACTGCTTACCTCACAGAGAGTTGTTTGGCTAAATTAATTGTTTGTGTAGCTCTCAGTGGAAGAGAGCAGTGATGTAAGTGCACATTACAAATGATCGCATGCATTAATGTTCTTACTTGTGTGCATGTGTTTGTTTTTATGCAGTAACAGCTCCTTGAAATGAGCCTTTTAATCCCAAGATCTAAATGAACTCCGCAAATTCTTATTAATTCACGTTAATAACACCCCTGCATGATAAAAGAAAGCTATTATCCCTGCTTTGTGCATTGGGCAAACAAGTGAGAAAAGCCATTAATGCCCTGAGCTTCAAGGATGCTCAATATTTGAATCCTCATTTCGCACAGTAGGGGTGGCAGGTTGGGGGCATCTTTGAAAACCAGGCTGTCAGTGATTTGTCTACAGATGCAGTGCCAAAATGGGTGGAAAGGACCTGAATCCTGAAGCTGTGATGTGTTTCATTTCAGTGGTAAAGTGTTTCTCTTACTCACGTCACCAGGACCCCTTGGGGTCCACACAGGCTCTCACCGAGCTGAGCCAGCCTGGGACCCCTTGTCTTTGTGGCAGGATTAATCCCATCCTGTGAGCCCATCTCCCTGGGGAATGGGGGAGTGAGAATAAGGGGGAAATGCCTTCACCATTTCCCATATCTCTGGAGAGGCTGGTGGGACAGGAGCGGGTCCCTCAGCAGGGAGATGCCTGGGCTGTGTCAGTGACCTCCCGGGTGGGTGGCACAGCCCAGAGCCATGGGGTTTCACCTCCATGCAGACACTGGGGAGGTTTCACAGTCCAGGTTTAAAGGATGGCAGTCCCTGTGTGAAAGTGAGATGGGGTACAGCCCACCCTGTGGGATGGTGGTGTTGTCCACAAAATTGGATTCTTTACCAGGTGTGCAACAAGACAACCATTACACATTTGAGAGAGACACTGAGTATTTATTTCAGAGCTGTGCAAGCCTGGGTGCTCGGTGTGTTCCACAAATCCAGCACACCCCACTGGACTTTCTGTGGCATTATTCATAATTAATTTATTATTATTTATTTATTTATAATTTTTATTTATTTGTTTATAATTAATTTTAATTCAGAGTTAGTAACTTTCCGAGTACAGACTCTCTATTATGACTGGTTAATAATTTCCATACGAGTTATGTAACCCCAGCTAACTTCTCCACATGCTCAGGGGCAACTGTTCCATTGCTCTGCCACCCTCAATGGAAAGAAGTTCTTCCTCACGTTGAGGTGAAACTTCTAGTTTATGGCCATTGCTCCTCGTCCTTTTGCTGGGCACCACTGAACAGAGTCTGGCACCATCCTCTTGGCACCTGCCTTGGAGATATTTATGTGCATTAATAAGATCCCCTCTCAGTCTTTTCCAGACTAAACAGACTCAGCTCCTGCAGTCTTTCCACATTAGCGAGATGCTCCAGACCCCTCATCATCTTTGTGGCCTGTCCTGGACCCACAGCAACCTTCCAGTATCTGAAGGGGGCCCACAGGGAAGCTGGAGAAGGACTGTTCATCAGGAACTGTAGTGACAGGACAAGGAGTAATGGGTACAAACTGAAAGAGGGGAAATTTGGGTTAGATATTAGGAAGAAATTATTTACTGTGAGGGTGGTAAGGCACTGGTACAGGTTTAGATTAAATACTCACAAAATCACAGAATATTCTGGGTTGGAAGGGACCCACAAGGATCATCAAGAACACCCCATCCCTGGAAGTGTCCAAGGCCAGGTTGGATAGGGCTTGGAGCAACCTGGGCTAGTGGAAGGTGTCCCCGCTCATGGCAGGGGGTGGGCCAGGATGATCTTTAAAGTCCTTTCCAACTCCTTAACATTCTATGATTCTGTGCTGGCTGCTGCCTGTCCCACTGCTCAGGTCTCCTTCCTTGCTGATTAGGCTCGAAAGCACACAAAGATCTCACACCAAGGAACGCCCTGATTTAAGATAATAAGGTAATTCTGACACATTTCGTAGCGGCGGCGGTCCCGGAACCCCCGCGCGCTGCCGCGTTCCCGGCCGGACGCGGGGCCCGCCATGGCGGCGCCCACACGGGTGTTCGCGTTCCGGGACGCGCGCTGGGCCCCGGACCCGGTGCTGGCTCCGAGCGCGGCCGTGCGGAGCCCTCAGCCTGTGCCGCTGGTCATCGACAACGGCTCCTTCCAGACGCGGGCGGGATGGGGCTGCCCGGATCCCGCCGTGCCCGCCGAGCCGCTGCTGCGGTTCCGCTCGCTGGCGGCGCGGAGCCGCGGGGCCCGCGGCGGGGCCGGCGCCGAGACCCAGGTGGGCAACGACCTGGGCAGCCCCGAGCCCCTGCGGTGGCTGCTGCGCTCGCCCTTCGACCGCAACGTGCCCGTCCAGCTGGAGCTGCAGGAGCTGCTCTTAGACCACGTCTTCCAGCGCCTCGGCGTCTCCTCGCAGGTAACACCGGGCCGGGGCTGGAGCCGCCCGGGAATCGTGGAATGCTTTGGGTTGGAAGGGACCTTAAAGCTCATCTCATTCCACCCCCTGCCACAGGCAGGGACACCTTCCACTTGACCAGGTTGCTCCAAGCCCCGTCCAACCTGGCCTTGAACACTTCCAGGGATGGGGCAGTCACAGCTTCTCTGGGCAACCTGTGCCAGGGCCTCCCCACCCTCATAGGCAAGAATTTTTTTTTTCCTGATATCTAATCTAACCCTACTCTCTTTCAATTTGAAGCCATTTCCCCTTGCCGTGTCACTCCAGGTTTCTGTAAATAGTCTTGCCTCGTCTTTCCTGTAAGTTCCTTCAGGGCCGGCCCCGGGGAGGGGGGATCTGAGTGGAGGGAGAGGTTCCACCTTAACATGGGGAAGAACTTCTTTACTGAGCAGTGACCGAGCACTGAACAGATTGACCAGAGAGGCTGTGGAGTTTCCCTCATTGGAAATATTCCAGAACCATCTGGACACAATCCTGTGCCATGTGCTCTAGGATGACTCTGCTTGAGCAGGGAGGTTGGACCAGATAACCCACTGTGGTCCCTTCCAAGCTGAACCATTCCGGGATTCTGGGAGGTTGTGGCTGGTCCATAGTGGGAATTTGGAGGTTTAGAATTTCCTCTGGCTCTCCTGGGATATGTTGTCCCCCTCCTCACAGATAGTCACAGCCTGGGTAGACAGTGAGGTGAACCTGGCTGGGCAAGGTATGCCCCAGGGGGGTCTTTGAAGCTCTGCTGTGCTGTTAATTTCTTCATGGTTTTGTGGTGAAGCAAAAGGGGAGGATTCAGCTGCAGGGTGAAAGGCTTGGACTGCAGTGTCCTGTCAGGTTATGTCCGAGAACTTGCATCCAGGATCAGCTTTTGAGAAGGACATAAACATTATTGGTGTTGTGTAGGGCTCTTATTATTAGTGCTTATTGACCACCTGTACTTCCAGCTGCGTTGAGAGTTGTTCCTCAGGCCATGGAGCCTTTTGCCTGCGTGACAACACAAGAGTGAAAACGTTACCCAGTGTTGAACTAAACTTCCAGTGGTTTTCTCTCGCACTTCACCTTCTCATTGCATAGATTTTGGTTACTTAGATTTTTAATAATTTGTATATGCTTTTAAAAGTCCATTCTCCTCCACCATTAGGAATTTATTCTTTGATTGAATTAACATTAACATCTTTTTTCCCCCTTAAGCACTAGATATAATTTAGCTTACGTGATTTTACGTGATTAATAGCCTGCACATAAAGTGCTTTCTCATGGCTGTTTTGAAGGAGTTCTTGCTGGTGTTCAAAAGAAGAAGCAAGGATGACTGGGTTTTCCCTTCATACCTTTTTTATTATTCTTTTCCCTTGTCTCTTCCAGGGTTGCGTTGATCACCCAATTGTTCTGACAGAAGCAGTGTGCAACCCTCTATATTCAAGGCAAATGATGTCCGAGCTCCTCTTCGAGTGCTATCAAGTGCCAAAAGTGTCCTATGGCGTGGACAGCCTGTACAGTTTTTACCACAACAGGAGGCAGAAGTGGCCCTGCAGTGGTTTGGTGATATCCTCAGGGTATCAGTGTACACACATTTTGCCAGTCTTAGAAGGCAGGTGAGTTCTTGGTGTCTTAAGTGCAGCTTCTCTTTGTCAGGCATTGACTTTTCAAGTGGTGCAACTATCCATTTTTCCATCACTGAGTATTCCAGCCCTGCAGTATTAACTCCTACCAGGTCTTAATTTACACTGATGACTTAAAACCAGGTCTGCAGATTTTACTAGGTTCTGTTGAATTTTGAGTTGAAGAAGCAGTACTGTCTTTGTATTTTTAGTTGCTACTCATGCCTAAATTTGTACTTTCAAAAGTAGAAGGGGATATCTGCCCCAAGTGAAATCAGGCATTAAAAAATATAGGTTTTAAAGCAGCTTTGGGACAAAATAAAGTGCTCTGTGAGAGTTTTGCAGTTCTTGAGGCTTTTATCATTCTG